TTGACATCCTTGCTTTTGCAATTATTTTTCTACAATACTACTCTCATGTAAAATAGCCCGCATCATTAGGGTATTTTATACTTAGGGATGAGTTGCCTCTATCGTTACACTTAAGATATTTGTACATAAATTCATATTTGTACATAAATTAATATTGGGGATTGTAGCTTGATGTTTAAGATACACTTTCACACATTTATCGAGAACAAATCAGATTGTTATAAATCGTTTTATGACATAATATAAAAGTACGATTTAAGTAACCGGTCTTCTAATTTGTAACATTTTGAAAATTGGTAAATATACAAAGAGAAGTAGTGAGTAAGACATGTCGGAAAACAGGAATTGTTCACTAATATACTTATACATATTAAGAATGAATAAAAAAACGTTGAATATGTAGTAAGAAATACGATGCTTATTAAGTCATATGAGATGTTAAATTATATTTTATGAATAACAAATAAATTTCTATGTAATAAAAACTTTTTCAATTTTTCTTATCCTATATTAATAGTTTATAATTATACGGCGCATAACGTACTGGTACGATTTAAAGAACCTTGTAGTGGTACGATTTAGTAAACGTTATCAATTTATTCATAAGTATCAATTGAAACTTCATAATAAATGTAATAGGTACATAAGGCGAATTTATAATACTTTACAAGAAACCTAAACTAAATATAGGCGAATTTATAATACCCACAAATGTCCTACGTAATTATTAGTAGTCACCATTAATACACAACTTAAGACACACTTAATATTCAGAAGAATAAGAGAAATGTTGTAGCAATTTCTCATCCATCTCCCTACAACGAGTAAAGTAGACAATAATTAATAAAATACCTGCATTGTTAAGTTTATGTGACTCTTGCTGCTTTCACTTGTAAATTTTATTCTATTTTCAATTTTATGACTACAGTTTGTAAGATTCCTATGCTTCTTATATTTCCCACACATGTATACAATCTCGGTGTCCAAAATTTCTTGCAGTGTTTATCAAATGAATTATAATGAATTAAAAATGCTTCTATATATATGACTTCAAATGCATTCGTAAAAAGTGAAGATTTCTTAGTACGAATCAGAATGATTGTTACACCTCATCCTTTAAAACATATCCATTGTTATATCAAGCTAATTGATATTTAACAAGTCGTCCTCAGTAACCAAAACTCATAATAAACTTGGAATGTCCAATACTTCGATCAGGTTATCATACCACAACGATAAACGATATAACTGCGAACCCACTACAGACACGTCAACTCGGTTTGAATTGAAGCCCACAAGCATACAAATTGTCAAAGGCAAAATACGGTGCAGCGAAAAATACGATTAGTTAAATCACTGTTCCGGAACGAGCGTTTAGGCGTGACGAGGGGTACATATACTCCACATTTTCCGACAGACCATCATTCGGCCATTGTATTTATAGCAAGAACATGGAGTACTTCAGATCTTTCCTTCGCGTGATTGGATTGCTTGAGCCTGCCAAGGTGGATTTCATTTCTGATCTTCCGCCAGAGGTGTCACAGTTAATTCTACGTAAGTTGGATCCTAAATCTCTTCATTGCGCTGCACAAGTGTCAAGAAACTGGATGGACGTTTGTAGGTCTGACCGAAACCTCAGACGAACTGCCAGACATCACAAGCAACGCGTTGAAAGGAAAATGATGGAAGACTTCCTTGGAAACGTTCATTCCGAAGAAAAGGTAGTAAAAATCGAGAACAAGGTGCCCGTTCGAATGATGATACCGAGGCAACAATCTTATGTTAGGATCGAAGTTAATGCTATATTTGGGAGAATTCAGCAACCTCGGAAACTTCCTAAATACGTTCAGGTGAGACCTAATGTAAATGTAAGACCATCTAGATGTATTAGAATGTAATTTAATAAATTTTGACAAGCAACTTATATAAATATAATAAGTTGAGCAACACATTATTTAAATAATTAAAATGAATACAAAAATAATGTAGTCATAGTTTATAGGTAGTCAGTATTATTATACATACGTACACGGACTCGGAGAATGTATGGTGTATACAATGTTACTTTACTATATTGTTATACAGCTTCATCATTTTAACCACTCCTTTTACTATTAATAATAGACAATGTGTAATCTGAACATTGTATGTGGTTGAATATTCAGGGTAACATGCGTATCTTCCTCCACGTTAAGGTAAATATATGACATTACTGTTTGACCTGTTCTAGGCATTGTATAGTGATAGATATAGTTAACTGCCACCTCGGTTGCGTTCAGAAATGAGACAGTTCATTAATTGTTACTACCGTTCCCTGATATTGTACGTGCATTTCTTTTTCATCAACTACTTCGTGAACCAATTGAAGTATTTTAGAGTCGCTTTAACTACCACAGTAATAGGACTAAATATACTGATAAAGCGTTGCACTTATAAAATAGCAATTGGAATGATAATATTTTTACTCGCACCTTTATATAAAATAGAAACTAAAGTCGAATACAACTCAAGTAAACAGCCCAAAAGGTGACTCCGAATTTGTAAGCTTAATGTTTTCTGCGTACTGTACATTCATAGAACACTCAGCTAAAATCAACGATCGATCCCACTTCTTGTCAGCGTTTCTAAGTTCCTTTCCAATTACGACATATACATGTGAACATAGTACATATGTACTTTGCTATCGTATTGTATGAATGATAAATTCAAGTAAACTCACATTAATTGCTACAAAATAAAAATTTAAATTTGACAATTATTAACAAGTAAAATTATTACCTCGGATGAAATACATTGTCCACGTCGTTAAGAGACCAGTGTGAAAAAGTATTCTGAGGCGTCTGGATCCAATCTCGAACGTGATTGGCCAATTCGCTCATGCGGAAAGTGCACTCATCCGTGATAATGGATATATAAGCTCCGATCTTTCAGATGTTAGACATTCAACTCTGCGTTTGTACAACGACAACATGGAGTACTTCAGATCCTTCCTTCGCGTGATTGGATTGCTTGAGCCTGACAAGGTGGATTTCATTTCTGATCTTCCGCCAGAGGTGTCACAGTTCATTCTACGTAAGTTGGATCTTGAATCTCTTTTTTGCGCTGCACAGGTGTCAAGAAACTGGTTGGACGTGTGCAGGTCTGATCGGAACCTCAGACGAACTGCCAGACGTCACAAGCGGCGCATCGAGAGAAAGAGGGTGGTAAACTTTCTTGTAAACGTTCCTCCTATGCAAAACACAGTGAACATCCAGAGAAAACTACCAGTTTCAATTATGGCGCCCAGGATTCTACCTCATAGTAGGATTGAAGCTAACGCCATATTTGGGAGAATTGAGCGACCTCGGAAACTTCCTAAATTCGTTCAGGTGAGATTTAATGTAGCTGTAAGACCACGTAGGTGTATTAGAATGTAATTTAATAAATTTTTGACAAGCATCTTATGTAAATATAATAAGTTGAGCAACACATTATTTAAATAATTAAAGTAAATCCAAAAACAATGTTGTTATAGTTTATTGGTAGTGCATATTATTATACATATATACACGGACTCGGAGGATGTATAATGGATACATTGTTCCTTAAAATAATGTTGAAAGTTTTGAAATATAGTAATACACAGCTTTGTAGTTTTCACCATTCATTTTACTATTAATACCAGACAATGTGTGATGTGAACTTTGCATGTGGTTGAATATTCAGAGTAACATGCGTATTTTCCTCCACGTTAAGGTAAATATATGACATTACTGTTTGACGAGTTCTAGGCATTGTATGGTGATAGATAGATTTTTTTTTTTAAGTTAACTGCCACCTCGGTTCCGTTCAGAAAAGAGACAGTTCTCTGAAACTGCGACCTGGGATACTCGAAAAATGCGCTCTAGTAAGACCCAATGTAGCTATAAAATCATCTAGATGTATTAGAATGTAGTTTAATAAAATCTAAATGTATTAGAACGAAGGTTCATTAAGCTTACTTTGACATACTTACTTTTGCAAATGTTTTTGTGCAATACGAGTTTTATATAGATTACCCTGCATCATTAGTAGAGTGCTGATTTTTATGCAAAATAAAAGTGTCTAATGGAATTTATAAAGACAGGAGCAATTGTGGAAGTTTATTGTCCTTCTTAAGCATCTTATTGAGTTCAGAATAAAATGGAAAACTCGTCGGATCCAATTAAAGTTTTGTTTTTATTGTATATCACATTATACCTTCTTTAGAATTAGTATACATATTTATAAAGGGAAGTAATGAGTAAGATATTACGGAAAACAAGGATTGCTTATTAATATATTTATAATTATTATGAACGAATAAAGAGACGTTGAACATGTAATATGAAATACAATATTACTATTGAGTTGTATGAGATATTAAATGATATTATATAACAAATAAATTTTCATTTAATAAACATTTGGCTTTAATTTTTCTTGTACTGTATAATAGTTTAGAATAATACGACATAATCGTATCGGTACGATTGAAAGAATCTTGTGTTGGTACCATTTAGTAAACGTGATCAATTGATTTATAAATGTCAATTGAACCTTTATAATAGCTGTCATAGCTACATAACGCGAATGTATAATATTCTACAAGAAACATTACTTTGAGGAAAATAAAAAAATACAGAATTAAACTGTGTTGTTAGATTATTGCCACCTAAAGTGCATTCGTCTTGAGTCCTGGGTTATATGTATCGGTCGAATCTCATTTTTTAAATAGTGGTAGTTGTAACTCTACGTGTTATCTACGAAATAGTTTGTTTTTATTTCTCACGACTGATTTCTTGCATATTTTTACCATTAGATGCTGCTTATATTTATTAATTATAAAGAAATTGCTGAGGCACGCTTTAGGAGACCTGTACACTATTGGCAACTCTCCCCTAGTACGCATTCAGGGAAATTAGTACAAGAGAAGAATAATTTTGTTATTGCAATATAGAGTACACATACTTCAACAAAGTTATAAATGAAACACGCTCATGTCATATGCTAATAATTATGTCCCCTTTATTGTAAATATAATTTGGTTTAATAAGCATGGTTAATATTATTCTTCAGAGGTATATTCCGCCAGTTGCTTCTAATTCGAGGAGACGTTGGTTTCGTATATTGCACATCTTAATTCGACTACAAACAATATTTCGGCATATTCTTGTCCCAAAATTTGAATCTACCGGGATATTTCTCTTTCATAGTGACCGTTGTGCTGGTGCCATCTCCGATTTGAAGATTTCTCTCGGTATTGTTTCCTTGTGGCTGCCATGCATTCGGACCGTCCAATCGACGTGACGTAGGTTTACTAAAAATAAAAGTTGTTAATTATATTGTAATAATCGTTTTTTATATGAATCTGTATAAGAACAAATATAAGCGAATGTATTCATTGTTCGTACCCGGAAGAAACAAAGCTGATCCACAAGTCGATATAGATATCGCGGATTTTGAGATCATTTTCTGACCGCTTCAAGTTAGCGTACTGCGAGCCGAGGAATGCCCCGGAAATGGAGAGTTCGTAAAACAGGTCATCCCCATGTGCGACGCCAGTTTTACTCAATTCGCCTCCGAATGGTAAAGTTCCAGTAAGAGTTCCGTGATAGCAGAAGTTGTAAGCGTACAGTGACTCCCCGTTGATGTTTCGGAGATATCTCAACAACTGCTGTAACGGATTCCAATAGAAGAGATCTGACGCAAGTTCCGTGTATTTTCTGATTACCTATAACCAAACCAGAAAACAATTTTTAAACCTCATATGCAGAAAATATGTTATTTTCACAATACAATAAAGAGTCCGTGAGAGTTGGAAACACTCTTCCGCTTAAGAACTTTCACGGTGCGTCGCGAATTGTATCAACTCCTCGCAAATCTATTGTTTGGCCGAAGCCCAACCCTCGGCAATAAACACAAGGGGGGTGGGGTATAAATTCTGCGCTTGGCACGTTTCCTCTTTCCTCCCCAGTGGTGGGGACGAAGTAGAAACTCTGACGAGGAATTTCGTACCGCACTCTAATCGAGTCTTTACTGTACGAATAATATCCAAAATTTTACTAAATTACAAACTTCCATATCTTTAACTGATCTACAAGAATCTGCAATACAAGTGCAATGTAACTTTGGTAGTTGATGCAACGTAAAATAATGTGAGAAAAATCTCTTCTATGTTCATAATTGTTACAGCTTCGATAATTATAAAATAATTACTTTCCTTGGTTGTGAGCTGTGGAATGGACATGGCGTACTGCACATTTAATCCAGGACGAGTATAATACGATTTTCATTTAATGCTATTCACAGTTAACCACAATGTTCAATAACGCAACGTGACATAACAGACAGGAGGCTTATAGACCACCATTGGTGGTCATGTGATTTCTTGTACATAAATATTGCGGTTACTGTTTCGGTTTGTTAAACACTACGTACATATTATTATTTATTACAATATTATTAGGTTGTCGTATAGGAAATATCGTTTCCATTGATTGCTACATTATATTACATATTTGTGAGTGAAAATTATTAATAGTGGCTTTTTTCTTGCATGTTAACTTAGGATTTGTAGTTTTTTCGACGCGTTATGTTACCAACGAAACTATTATACATATCTGGATTCCAGAGCCAGAGTGAATTAAGTCCACTTTTTAAAACAATGACATTTTACATGATTCCGGTAACGAATATTTCATTCTCTCCGGTGGTAAAAATTATTCCGTTCTAAGTCGTCTAGTTTCATATTGTTAAAACAGTGTAAAGTTCATCACATAAGGGAATTAATGCAAAGTTCACCATTTATAGATATAGAAACTTGTCTTAAATCTATTGAATAATTCGAAGGTAGCGATTATTGCTCCCTCAATTCTTACTGAACGGTTCCAAAGTTACAAGGTTTTCGCACCTTTGATTTGCTCTACTCTAAAGTTTGAAAAGTGAGAGTTAATACACTCTGGCTCTGGGGTCCACATATAAGTATTTGCAATCAATTGTAACAGATGATTGCTTAAAATGAAACTCAGTTGAAATCATTGTACCCATTCAATCTAAAATTTTCATGTGAGACTCAAAGGTAAACTACATAAAACTTTATTTATGGTGTCAGTGCATATTATTTTTCAACAAAGCAACATTGAAAAGACCACTGCAACTAATGCTGTTGCCCACAAATTAATTTCAAATTTAAAAATCTCTATGAAAGAACTTGCGGATGTCAATAATAAGTGTAAAGACATACATACACGTGAATTCCATTGTGGAACGTAACTATTAAAATTCTTTGTAATTAGATAAAGTATGAAATTACACTAAAAAAAATCGACAATTCATATGCAACTATGTAATATTATTCCAAATATGTCTGCATAATCCAAAAGGACATAACAATGTTGGTATTACAGTTGTTGTAAAGGGAGAGTCAGTTCAACTACCCCCTCGTATATCTTCGAAATCATTAATGATATCGAAAAATGTTTCGAGTAAAAATTAAATAGTTCCGAGGAGGGAATAATTTAATGTAAGCAGTTCTTTTGTAGGGGACATCTGAAGGTCGAATTTGTTTTTTCAATGGAATCATAACTTTTTAATGCATTTAAAGATACAGTTTGTTATTCCCTGTAAAAACATGTTAAACTATTTATGCCGGAAAATTATTAGTTTAGGAGAACCTTTAATTTCAAAATTGCGAAATAGTACTAATAATACGATGTTTACTTTCTTAAAATTTGTGTTCAAAAGTACGTCCTCAGATGTAACACGTAGTACCCCTTCGCAATTTTGAAATTACAATATCTCCTAAACTAATAGTTTTTCGGCATAAGTAGCTACAATCTTTTATAGCGAATGATTAGCTGTATCAACAAAAGCATACAAAATATATATGTGTAAAAAACACACAATTTGAGATTTATATGTTCTCTACTCGTTCATCTACAAAAAATTTCCTGCATCAATTTATTTCTCCTCTGAAATTATCAAACTTTTATTTAACATATTTTTCGGTACCAGCAGCAGCTTCGAAGGTATTTGCGGGGCTCTATTTAAATGACTCAGCCTGTATATTATATTATAAGACCATCCAAAAATGTGTAACAATGTTTATACCATGCTGCGTATATAAATTGGCAATTGTCGGATAGGAATATAAGTTTTTGTATGATATGGGACCAGACCTGCTCGTCGACAACTCTTGAATACAAATGATATCAATCCATTAACTAATATTTGCATTATGATACACATGTGCAGTTGCATGATTATCATTACCATATCGTATATATATACTTACAGTTTCCTTGTCGGTCGGCAGTTCAGCGCCCAGATAGAAATTCTTTAACTCCACAGCTAGTTTAGTACGATTCTTTCCCCTCGCTGGCGAGTAGGAACGGAGCAATTTTGCTATTACAGACACTGGCTCCTTTACACACTGATCATATAATTTCTGATCATCTAGCAACTCTGAAAATTCATGTGCTCAATTACTTACTTATTCCAAAATTACGCAAGGCTGATTTATAGAAATTGTATAACAATCGATAAACAGAGTATTAAAATATCTTTCATCGGAAGGTTGAATTCACACGCCAATTTCTGAACCATTATAAATCATTCCTGGAAAGCCTGGAAATTCTTTTAATGAATTTTCCGATCTTACTTTTGGTGAAGAACGTTCCCTCGTCCTGGACATTTCCGAGTATCACCGGGCTGTACTTCATCTTATGTTTCCGTAACAAATTCTCTGGAGTGTCCGTTATGAACGCGTCGGGTGCAACTTTTTCCTTACTGGGTGCCCATGTCGTCTCTGCCGCGATATCTATGTCATCGAAGATCAACAACGATGCTTCTAATAATGTCGACACATTTACATTTTGAAGACATTCGACCATCTCGCGGTTATTGCTTGTCGTGCAATTGCAAATTTTCGCAACTTTCTTCGGAAGCTCATAGTACGATGGATCATCGTTGAAAGCTTGTGGACAAAGAACGTTTCCACTTTCCCCAATCCAAGATCTAAATAAGTCTGCAACAAATGATTCGTATTAATTTACTTCTATTACTCTTCTATTGAAAGGGAAAGTGCTTCGTTGATTAAAGGATTAGGTGCAATAAATAAGTCATCATTTCTTTGTCACGGACTTGACGCTTTTCAATTTTTAACTACAGACGGCTCGTCTCAGACACGAGTCGTCTGACGACTACTTTGCCACAGTTTTAATAACCAACTGAACGTTAACTTTCAGTACTGTGATGGAAATAGTGTGCCACTTACTGTCAATGGTAGGTACTCAAACGGTAGATTTTATAAAATTGTCTACCAAGTTGCGATAGTGAAATAAAAATTTCAGACATATCCCTGAAATGAGTCTCTGGTAGTTCAGAATTAAACTAAAAAAATTTGTTTACCCTTATTTTCTTTCAGAATGGTCGTGAGAATTGAAGATAGAAGACATATTGTCACTAAAACACTATAGCCACCTGACTTTCTAAAAAATCAGTATTTAATTTGACAAAATATAGTGGATTATTGTACCCATTGGTACACCCAATAATGGTGATATTGTGAAGTACTCGTATTTTGTGGTGTTGAAACCACTAACATCAATTTATACAGATAAGCAGATGAACAATATACACATCCCTCGATGTTTACCAATAATTTATTTTTAGTTGTGTGTTTATTCCATTTTCATGAAATCGTCCAGCAATTGAGCGATCATAGAAATACACTGAACATGTAATTTAGTATCTGGTCTTTAGTGTTACATTAAGTTTCAATGATTCCAGTTATTTATACGCTGAATTAAATCGTAATTTATGTTAAGAATCATTTGTAGATGCGGTTGAAAAATAAAATTGAGGAGTAATCAAACTGTCATTTCGGATCATATATGTATACGGTGTACCGAAAGAATTGATTTGAATTTACTATTAGACTATTAGGTCTACACACCAATACAAAGATATGAAAATCTTCTGAGCTTATTATCAAAACAAGGGAACTTCGGTGAATCGAATATTCAGATTTTTTTTTACAATATGTTCCAGGTTTCTAAGAAACTTAAAGAGAAGTACCAGGCAATTGTTTTGTTACTTTTTGATTTTTCAGGGTATAAACATCTTTGAAGGTAAACATGTATTTTTCTATTTTCCTGTATCTCTGGAAAACTATAATAGGTATAAAAAAAATTGTTTGAATGAAAATGCAATAGTCTATTACGCCCTGTAGAACTGTGCAATTAAAATATTAAAAATTTATTCTTGACATAAATAAATGAAAATATTATTATCAAATGAATCTAAAAATCATCGGTGTACTAACACCTTTTTCTGCCACACTATCATCCACAGCTTTCATTAGAATTGTTGTCGATAAAGAAGCGTATGATCTCAATGTACTCTATTTTTTAGACAGCGCAAATATTTATAATCAGTATTATGTTACATCGATACAAAAAATGTATGAATACTTATTAATAATAAAGTCATTACTCTAAAGAAAAACAAATACTGAATATTGTGTTATTATTGAGTAGATGTTACATACCTTGTGATTTCGGCGAAAACTTTTACCCACTGAAGCGCCAGCTGTTGATCCTTCAAACCGCAATTCCCAGGCGCCTCATTATCACCGGAATTAGAAAATCCAAGGATGTTCAACCGATAATTGATAGTCACGACCACGATTGGTTTGTCGAGCAAGTATTTTGGTCCGACGGAGTGTGTACTGGCATTTCCACTCACGAAATTGCCACCGTGTATAAACACGAAAACAGGTAACAGAGACGCCGGTTTATCCTGCAACACGAAAAATCGTGCAAAGAACCGACATGTTAATAGATGGTTCATTTGTACTTTCACACCAAGTGCTCATGAATGGAGCATAATTTACGTAAAGAAACGTGCGTACATTTCAGCAACATATCTCCTTATACAAATTTCTTTCGTCATCTCTATAATATTCAGAACACGTAAAATTAAGTCAGTGTACGAAATTTTATTGCTTTTAGTGACAAATATCCCCCGACTGAAATGAAAAGCGAGGAGAGAACTGAGGTGCTCATAACAAAAACGACATTCTCAAAATATTTCGGTTTTTATGAAAACAGATTCTAGTGGTCGGAAGCAGGATACACAATGTGGTGGAATCTATACTATTAAACACGACCTATGACTTGATTTATTCCGAAAAGAAAATTGAAATTGATTGAACAAAAATTAAAGATGCCAAAGTATTACTTTATTGTACTGATAAAAAAAAAATCGACTAAAGTCGTTTGTTATATGAACCCGTGAGTTGATAGTCGCTTTTAGCAAAACCAAAATACGAAATTACTGGTATTGGAGTGAATATAGTACAGATACTTTTAACCGAATAGGACAATTTAGTAATTCATGGTAATGATACAGTAAATATTAATACAGACGTTATGATAAATAAAAGATGTTCCATGAACATTTAACACATGACACCGTAGTTTTTGAATTATACTATAGTGGATCATCGATAATCCTTGAATGGCACATTTGACATGAGTCTGCAATCCGCTAATAAGAGCCATCCACCGAATGAGTAATTTATATTATACAGGTTGTTAATAAAATTGTGGGACAATTTCACAGGATGGAGTCTACGTACTAAACTGAGACAAAAATCAAGAATGATGAAATTACGTTCGAGGTTTTGTTTCTTACTTATTAATTGCTAAAAATATTAGCAAAGTATGTGTGAAATGTGTCTGACCAACCGAGTTATACTACTCGAGCAGACGCTGCCCCAGTTGATACACGGGGTCGGTCAATTCAGTGTCGTAACCTCTAAAAAGACCCACGTACGTTGCAACTGAAGTGGTGATATATGATGCTTTGTGTTGATTTAATTGCATACTTGTATGCGCGTGTGCGTGACAATTATCAGTGAATTTGTGTAAAAGCCATGTGTATTTCAAAGTCCTATACGGCGGTATTCGATAAACCCTTGTGGATTTCAGAGAGTTGGCAAATTTAATGAAATTGTAAAAAAATAAAACAATTATGAATTTAATAGTGGAATAAATTTAAGAAAAATTATTGCAATTCCACGAGGAGTCTAGACGGTAAGTAGATCTTTCTAGATGGCTACGGCACTGACAGATACCGACCGATCTCGTCGAACAGTCGAGGAGCGCACCTCTCAAGTAGAAAAATTCGCTTATTTTTAACAATTAATAACTTGAAAATAAAGTCTCGAAAGCAATTTCGTCGTTCTTTATTCTCGTCTTAGTTTGCCACGTAGAATTCATCCTATGAAAATGTCCCACGATTTATTAACATCCTGTATATGTAAGTTATGCAATTATCTATCCACTGTCTTTAAGTTCTTACACCCGTGAAGCTATAACATGTACCACCAATATTTACACAACCTTTTGTGAGTTCATTAATTTAAAAAAGCTCAGTCATTACCTCTGGAGTGTACACATTTAAGAACAAGCAGTCCTCACTTCCTTTTACCCTCCCTTGGTCGAACTGTGGGCACTGGCAATGGTCTTTATTTGCGTTCAGAACATCGTCCCATGGTTTCTTTGGAACTGGAGGCTGAAACCTATTCAGAAAATATTAACTTACTTATTCGCAATACTTTATCGTAGGAAAAGACTAGATAATAAGCCTCGGTTGTCAAAATGTCTCACAACTGTATTATTGATAGTGAAAATCTTTGTGTCTTTCTTGAAGTAATGTTCTTCAAAGAAATTTTGGAAATTGGTTGATTTAGCAGCGTTAGCATATGATTGACGTATGTCCGAATGTGTCGTTACTCTCTACAAATTTTATTTCGTACAAAACTACAAATTATATTGATCCGTGTGTTAGAAAAAGGTACGCATTGCTTTATCCTTTGTATATTCGAAACTAAATGAAAACGTTTATGTATAGTGTTTTTTGTTGATTATAAATGATACGAACATGATTGAAGAAAGTTAAATGACTAATTATATGTACATGAAATAATATTGTATAGCTATACTAACAGAAAATTGAAAAATAGATGGCTAAATCAACTACTCTGCAAGAACCATATTGTGAAACGTTGAGTATGTCTATATCTAATCAACACTCTGGGGCACAACTTCGCTGAAAGTGTTTAGATATGTTTTGTGGTGACGGTGGAATGAATGCAAGTACCAATAGAAATTATTAGCTACTGATTTTTATAGACCTAAATATTTCCGGTTTCCAGTAATTTTTTTTAATTCCACCAGTTAATATTTCTCATTTCCTAGATATTAGTAACCTAGTATAATTTACTAGTTCAATAATATCTAGAAAATGAGAAATATCTTTTATTTTTAAACTGCTGTTCCGTAGCTCTATTCGAGCTCTTTACGCCAGATAATGTCCCCTCTTTTATTAATTTAGAATTCTACATAAGTCAACTTCAATTTGAGTTAAAGAATTAAAACAGTCTCAGTAGAATATTTTCATCGATGTTAATTTTAAGAATTATTGTTAAGCACAGTAATCTTTATCACACTTAATTTCATTTATAGAATACATTATATATAATTCAAACTAATTATAAAACGATTTCGGTACACTCAATTACGCATCCATGTAACAACCAAAATGGAGGGCAAAAGTATTTTTATAGATGTCGAAGGGAAATGCAAAATGAATGTACCACGTAATATTGATTCCACTCGACAACGATAATGAGAAGTAACTTACAGACAATGCTACTTTAGGCATAAGAAGAGGCAATTAAAATTAACTCTACTAATCAGAAAATTTCAATTTAAAGTGTTTATACAGATGCTGTGGGTATACGTGAACTCAGGTGTCCATCAGTATTGTGATGTACACATTGCGACAAAGTCATTCGTCAGATTGCCAGCAAATAAACGTGTTTGGAATTGTTTAGGTATGTCTAGACAGTTGTCTGGGTTTGCTTTGAGATTCAGATAGACACAGCCAATTTTTGAGATATTTATTAGCTTATTTGAGACACATCGGATTCTTTGTTATGGACTTGGATATACCTGGAAAATAACAGTTTCGTTTTGACTACTTTTACATCTTAAGCCCACACGCATCGAAAAGACGATCATGATTTATGAACCGGTTTCCATGAATAAGGAACCTTTGCGCAACGTCCTGCGTGGTCCACGCGAGAAAAGGAAACCACAGGGTCAGTAGACGTTGCACAATTCGGAAATCGTCCTGGATTAAGATTCGTCCTTTTTTTCATCCACCACTGAACTCATCCCCCTAACGTCTCGTTGAACAGGGATTAGATAAATTAGGTTTACAATTTTTAAGTAGAATTTTAGCTAGAGTCATAAGAAACTGGACTTCTGATCAGGACGAATTGGATCGCCAAAGTGAATTGCCTGAACTTCCAGGATAAAATGAACTGGCCCACCAAACAGAATTGAACTGAACTTCCAAGTGTGAACAAACTGAACTTGCAACTAGAACTAACAAACTGAACTCTAAGTACCTTGCGAACTCTGTCTTTTGTACGTTAACTCCGGACTTTGTACAATAATTCGTTTTTTCTTACATTATTCTGTGTTATCAACCTGAAAGCGTTGTCGTTATACCGAACCAACAGCAGTATTCTTAGCGCTCGGAACAAAAGTGCTGTTTTTTAATGCAACGCCCTTGACAAGTTCATCGACTTTCATTAAACTTCAGCATTCTATCGTGAATAAACAGAATTGTATCTCGTTGGCGAAAATGTGTAGATACTAACACATTATATGTCGAGTACTAAAAGGTATTCTGATCTAGGTTATACTGTACTGAATTTTGCGATTCGAAAGAGCAATTTATTGCCGCCAACCTAATAGTTAACATATTGACTATCATTGTGGCCACTGTTGACTGGAGCTCATAATTTACACGACGAAATATTAAATTTCTAAACATCAGGCTTTACCATCTCGTAAATATAATTAATAGTAAAGTAATAACAAAAATCATAAGTTTTTAAGTCAACTATTTCAGTCTATTTAAATATGGTACTGTCGTAACTATAAAAACTGTGGCAGTAAACGTATTAAAGAGTAGGTTTACATTTTTTAACTATAAGGGTACAAACCTCAGTTTTCCAACGGGTGGTTCCGCATAAGGTATTCCTTTATATGCACGAATCACCTTACCGGAATCGGACTGTATTTCTGTACCTTGTATAAGGCCTAGATGCGTTTCCACTGTACAATCGGCGATAGTGCTCGCTACGCAGAATCCCAGAAATAGCAGCCATAATAGTCGTTTCATCGTGATTGTTCTCAACTTGTAGCCAATCAGCGACAGTCGTCCCTTCGTATAAAAATAGGAGAACTCTGGATCGTTCGACTTATTACAGACTTATATACCATAAGGTGACGGGATATATTAACATAAATATAGTGTATAAAATATTCCTTGATAGGTGCAAAATGTCCCACCAGTTGACAAGGCATTGATAATGGAAGTAACGTGTATTTTTCTTTCGAAAGTATAATAATGAGACCTGGTATTTGTATTAGCATTTCCTTCGTTTAATTTATACAATAATTCCTGGCCGTAGCGATACGAGAACGGTGTAATTCTGTAAGCAGTAAATAAAAATGTACGGAATACAAAATGACATATAAGAACCAGAAATTGTGGTCTTTGGGATTTGAATATATCATAATGTGTATTTACAATAAATATAGTATTGAGTTGTCGGAAATATAAATGATGGATCTCTAATCATGTATTTTGTGTTATAATTCCATAATAGGATGATCTGGTTTTACTTAAAAAGAAATGTTAGAAAAGAAATTCTTATTAGATAGATCAATTTCTTTCGATATACTGTACAAAAAATTATTCATCATATTAAAAGTATATAAGTTCTAAAAGTAAGTCAAAGTTATTGATCACGTACTAAATGAGCGTCTGAGTACCATCTCTAATAAAGACAATTATTTTAAATGTCTTGCGAACAATATTTCATTTTTCGATTATTTCACCATACTACACTTTCCATAGAATAGATCAATTTGAAACTCTTGTGTCAAGAAAAGTATCTGTTTCAATGTAAGTAACCCAGATAGCACCGTACATTCTAAGGACGTCCGTTTCATGTCCAGTTTATATCCGAATGTCCTACGTCCATTTTGGACATCCCTAGGACGTTTGTAAGACTTAAATTTCGGATGTTCTAGGAACGTTCGTCCCAAAAGTCCTACGGATGTTCTCAAAACTTAAATTTTAGATGGTTTCGTTTAGTATTGTTGCCAATATCATACCGTGTAAGGTGATGGAACCCCATGAACAAAGTGTCAGTCTTTAAAGAATCAATAGAGAAGTGTAACGATACTAGTGGCTTTGTGCAAAAGCCTCAAGAAAGTTGAAAAAACATGTTTCTTCTTAAACTGTCTCTAACCAACACCGAATCAGAGTTTTGCTGTGAAAACAGAAATAAACACAATGTACTTGGAGATCATAATCCCCAGACCTATATTTTCATTATAATTCCTTATAGGAAATTTAACCTTTTATTTATTAACAGAAACTAACTAGATCTAATTTCTACTGAGTGCGGAAATCGCAGAAAAGTTAATCTTTTATTTGTTAAACACAAACCAACCTAACTTAACTCCTGTCACCTTGCACCGAATGAACGCTAACCGCAATTTTAAACATTTGGGAAACATTTCTTATACGTCTTTTAAGACATTACCATAGCGTTTCTAAAATCTCTTTAAACGTTCCCAAAACGTACAGGGAATGTTACTTTTACACATTCGGGAAACGTTCTGAGAATGTTGACACAGGACGTCCTCAGGACGTTCCACTTTGTAAATAGGTAGGACCTTCCTAGGATGTTTAAAGATCTTAACGAGGACCTAACGAGAACATATGGACCTTTTCGGGACATCCTCCGAATGTACAGAACGTCCAGAACGTACGTCCGTCGGACGTACATAGGACGTTTTTGTGCTATTTGGGAATCTAATAGTAAAGAACTTATTCTGTTAATGTACGTATTTTGGTTGTAAATGATAATTAGAATCATTCTTTATGCATTTAGTGAGGGGACTTCCATTCCACCCACAGAGATAAAATATATACAAACGTTGAATAACTGAAATTCTCCAGAAAAAATATATACTGGCAACACCACATGTGACATTACAAACTCATTATCGCCTTGTGGATGATAAAGCGTGGGTATTTACCCGTCAAATGCAAAGCGGAAATTATTATCACATAATGCCTAGGAAATCAACAGCTGATAAGCAAAAAACAAACAATTACATTGTTATCATTATCAATGCTACAATATACTTATCATAGCAGTCCCCTATGATCTAAAGTTAGAAAATCAATAATGTAAATATGCATAGTATACACGTGCACGGTATACGTATGACCGACATATAAGAATTAACAAAGTGGATTTTTATTTATTTGAAACTCTTCTACCACGGTCAAAGTTTCCCATTATTTTCGAAATAATCATCTGAATATAATGGGCTCCCATGCATAAACATCTAATTGTAATATAAGTTTATAAAAAATACAAACATTTAATAAAAATACTTAATAGAACTACATTAATCGCTGTGTTTTATCTCATAGTTTCAAAGCCTCTTTTCAGGGCGTTCACATCCCAATTTCATTTCTCCAAAATCATGACGAGAAATGTCGACACTCAATGAGATCATTAACCCATCGGTAATCGCGAAAATCATTGGATAGGGAATTAATTGATATTCCTTGTTATGCGTCGCACCGGCGACCTGGAAAAATCTCTACACGATTTCGTTCGGTCATCGAGGCAATATAAGCCCACGGAAAATAACACAAGACTTCTTTTCTTTTTCGTAGCCGCGCTTTTCGGTTCTGCGATTATCATCACCGCGCGGCGGCGAGCTAAGAGCAACGGTCACTTAACTGTACGATTTCGAGGTTCTACGACATTCTCTCTACCTTCGGCAACGCGACATCGTGTCTACGCGCGAGCAGACAGGTGATTCTCGTAAAACTCCAAACCTGCAAAGTGTAACATTCGACATGGTGATCATATATCTCTCAAGTGCAGCGATCCTCTCCAGCGACCCCTAAGAGCCAGCGAATCTTCTGCCCAAACGAGAGCCGGAATTTCGATCGAGCCGTAAACGTACGCGGAATCATTCATCCTCGTCATCAGTGGTACGTTAACGTCTACCCGGACTGATACTAGAGTTAGGCAGAATTTTATTCGAATAATACACAGTGAAAAGCAGCAGTATCTAAGGGTGTCGTTCTGAGCTTTAAACAGTTAATGAGATTAAATTATTATTCGACAAATGTTGATTCATTCGTAAGGAAGTATTATTATATTATAACAATTTAAATTTCCATGTTTAAACAATGAAAAATGACGAAATACTTGATTTAGTTTTTATTCGTTATTCGAAATTTCTTATCTAGATAATAAGTTTGCCCATCTCTAACTGATACACGCCGATTTTGATAAAACTTAGACTATTATTAGACTTATCTAAGGAGATAGCTGTAACTCGTTCGTGCCGGTTTTTCACTTTGAGAGAGATATCAACCCTTTTATCCGAACCGCCCTTTCAATAAGTATACTATACGTGCTTATAAGTCGTAAATAACAAAAGATATAGAAAAATGGTTGAAATAAAAGTTATATCGTTTCTTGAGATCTATAAAGTTGCGTGTACATTTTTTTCAAAAGCAATCATCAATTTGTAAGATTATCTCATCAGAAGGAATACATTGTCCATGTAGTTAGGTACATACTCTGTGAAAAACTGTTGTGTGACGTCACCATGGGTTCTCGAAGGTGATTGGCCGGTTCACTCATCCGGAAAGTGCACCCATCCGTGATAATGGGTATATAAGCTGTCACCTTTCAGATGTCCGACATTCAAGTCTGCTATTACACAGAGACAATATGGAGTATTTCAGATCCTTCCTTCGCGTAATTGGATTGCTCGAATCTGCGAAAGTGGATTTCATTTCTGATCTTCCACCCGAGGTATCGCAGTTAATTCTAGGTAAGTTGGATCCTAAATCCCTAGTGTGTGCTATGCAGGTGTCAAGAAGATGGTTAAATGTCTGCAGGTCCCACAAACACCTCAGACGAACGGCCAGGCATCATAAAAAGCGTTTCGAACGGCGAATGAGAGATTTCCTCGGTCCTGAACAGGTGAGGATGGAAATTCATAGAAAACTTCCGAAACCTGTTCAAGCACCGAGAATTGTAGTTCATGCTAGGTTTGAAGCAGACACAATTTCCGGGAGAATCACCCGTTATGGGACGCCTCGAAAATGCGTTCAGGCGAGATCCAATGTAGCTATAAGACCTTCTAGATGTATTAGAATGTAATCAATAAATTTTGACAAGTAGCTCAGGAAACATTATATAATTAGAGGAATAAATTAGTTAAATAATTTGAATAAATACAATAATAATATATTTATATTTTATCGGTAATGTATATTATCATACAATAAATATACGGACTCGCAGAATTTATAGTGGATATAAAGTTACTATGAATTATGTTATAAATATGTGATTATAGTATTTCACAGTTTCAATTCGCTTCATCGATTGCTACTATCGCCTCATCATATTTTATGTACATTTTTTAGCTAGAAACTACTTAGTTAACCAATTGAAATGTTTTAGACTCGCATTTACTACCACGTAAATAAAACGACATCTGATGATACACAGTTACAATTAGAATATAATAGTAAAAAAATTAAAATTTTTACTCACTCGTTTATATGAAGTGGAAAGTAAAGTCTAATAAAACTCAAGTAAACGGCATAAGAACTTCCTCCAAGCTTAATGTTGTGTGCTCTGTGTCCTGTACATTGATAGATCCCGTAGCTAGAATCAGCGATCGATGTCACTTCTTGTCAGCGTTATTATTGTCGTTGCCAGTTGCAACGTATACATGCATACATGGTATATGTAGCTCATTTTCATCTGTATGAATGACAAATTCAAGTACACCCAAATTAATTGCTTTAAACTAAATATTTTAATTTTGACAGTTATCAAAAAGTAGAATTATTACCACGGAATAAATTGTATTGTCCATTTCATTAAGAACATACTGCGTTAAAAACTCTGTTCTGAGACGCATCCATCCGTTCTCGAACGTGATTGGCTAATGCACTCATGCGGAAAGTGCAATCATCCGTGATAATGGGTATATAAACTCTGATCTTTCAGATGTCAGACATTCAACTCTGCGTTTGTACAACGACAACATGGA